GCAGATCTCTTTTCAGATCACTTACTTTTTTATAAAAATCTTGATGTATCATCGTCCTTGTGGCTCGTGTTTCTCTATCTATACACTGTAATTCATACTTTTGTCTTTGATATGCCCTTTTCAATTTATAATCACGGATAGAAACAATCTTTTCATAATATCCACGTAGCTCTGGATGCGATCCTTCAAGACACATCTGTAACTCCAATTCTAATTTGATCAATTTATTTTCATATAATCTTTGTCTCAATTCCGCAAACTTATATTCAATGTTAATTATATCGTCCATTGCTTCTAGCCTCCTATTTTCTAATTCCATGGGAGATGGCATAGTTTGTTTTGGTTTCTCGTCTTTTTCTTTGCTAACTTTACTACCATCATTTTCATCCTCCGCTACTTCTTGCTCATCTTCTTCATCCTCATCCTCATCTGCGTCCTCCTCTTGGTCTGCCTCTTCTTCCTCTTCTTCTACTTCTTTGCCTGCCACATTCAATCCATCTTTTGGGTCTAGCTTTTCTGTTTTTACAGATTCCTTAGTTTCTTCTGCCTTATCTATTTTTATTTTCTGCTCCTTATCACCATCTTCTAATGATGGTGTTTTTTGTGGTAGTGACAGAAGTTGCAGATTTGGATTATTTTCAGGAGATTTTATTGGGGACTGCGAAGAATCAGTAGAAACTGATTGTTTTGACATATAACTAGTCTCCAATTTAACCTTTTTATTACTTGGATCATCTTTATTCTCAGAATTATCATCCTCTAAATGATGTTTAATAGCTAGTTTTGCATCCTGCTCCTGCTCCTTCTCTTGCTCTTTTTCATTTTGCTGACTCCCTCCTACACTGTTTTGTCTCTCTTTTATTTCTATATCCTCTAACAACTTTGAAAGCTTTGGATGAAACTCTTCTTCCTCATTCATGATATCACTTTCCATCTTTTCAGTATCTGCATCACTAGATATACAATACTCACTCAAATTGATGTTACCTATGGGCTCATTTGCATCCAAAATTGTCAATGCACTCTCCTCATCCTCATCACGAGAATGATTTGTATCTTCTAGATCGGGTACATTATCCAGCTTTTCCTGATCTTCAATCATTTCCGACAAATAAATAAATATAAATATAAATATAAATATATGTACGTATATTAGTGCAACACCCTTCAACCAACAGTTCTGATGTTAAAAAATAGGAAATTTATCTTTTGGTTATAATAACTGAGTAATAACAAGAGTTACAGCTGTACTGTCAAAATCTTTGGGTATTTGATCCAATAGTCTCTCCACCCATATGCCATCACACATGTTTAACAAAACTATTTACTATGTATATTTCCCCATTTTTAGATCATTTTGATTGTATTATAATTTTTTTTTGTTTATGTTAGAATAGGGTTTTTTGTATTAGGGCTAACCAAAAATTTACGGGAAAAAAAGACACTTTTAAGAAAACAGAACATACTGACACATCCAAAGAAGAAAAAGAAACCAGGAAACCAAATGTGGTTCCTGTGTCTGACTCAATATATACTAATAGGTTTTTTTTCCAAATCAGCACATGGACTATTATAGCAAACAATATGCATTCTATTGCGGATTTATTTCTTTACATAATCTCACATCCAGATTAGTACTAATCATAACAACACTTGTCTTTACTTTTTTTCCACTAACATAACTTTCTATTTTTATTACAGAAAATAGCATCTTTTATCTATACCATAAGAAATATATAGCGAGTGTTATTATGTTAGAACTACAATTTACAAATCGGGGTGAAGACAACACAATTGTGTGTGTAAGTTTTAACTATTTATTTTTTTTATTTTATTTTGTTAAAGATACGACTTTTACAAATGTTAATATGCAATTTTTTAACATACCGAAGATGAGATCTAATTTATATATTTACACCTATGAAGTACTTGATACCATTCACGAATTTGTTGCTTCAGTTCAGTAATGGTTGAGCATTTACCACTCTACAAATAAAACCTTGTAAAACTGGAGCACAAAGGTCTTATTTTGAAAATCGATCACATAAAGGTTAATAGATTATACTATTCTGACAAGAATTCAAATTGCACAAAATAAATAAATAAAATAAAACAAAACTATATTGTAATATATCTTTAGTACTAGTTTTCTTACTCCATTAAGTCCTTGCAAAAATCGAACATGTCAACAGTTTAGAAAAAAATAGCTTTGTCTTATCAGAGCTTTTACCAGTTTACTACCATTTAACCATAAAAATTAATTATAGAACAAAGCTTAAGTGTTACAGTATCATACAGCACTATTGGAAGTCGAAACATGTAACATTTGTAGTAATGGCAAACATCATTAAGTTGTAAACTTTTTTTATCTTTAATAGGCGTTTATGCTTATTATATTAGTATATACAATGTGAAATTTTTTATTTACTCCAAGTCTTTTAAAGTTTTTCATTTTTTCTTCAAATCTCTGAAAAACATATTTGGTGACAAATAAAATGTCTCCCTAATATTATGACACATCCGTGCACCACATAATATACAGAAAGACTAATTAAAAATAATTCTTATGGAAATGACAGTAATAAACATTCATTTTCCGACAGTCTTGATTATTAATAAAATATCCGTTTGATATTTCTAGCGTTACTCTGAATAATACAAAAATACTAACCATCCCATATTACAAAGGTCTTTGTTATTAGTTTGGACTTAGGACCAATTCTTTTAACAGGACTATTGAACGAATAGTAAGGACAATAACAAATATATAAGAACGTTTTATATATCTAGGAGAGTTAAGGGTTTATTGCTTGTTCTTTTTCGTATTATACAATATGTTACATATAATTATAAATCAACTAAACATACAAATTTAGATATCAAGATGCTGGTCCTTTATATATGAATCATGAGTTGATAGTTTCTTATTTAAGGTTCTGTAACGATTGTCACCGTAGGTACATTTCTCATTAATTAGCTATTTAATGTTTTATGAATGTTTCATTTTGTTACATAGTATTCAACAAACACATGGGATTTATCAACAAACCCTAAGTCCTATAAATCCAAACTAGAACTTTTTCTTGACAACTATCACAAAACCCTAACAATATTTTTCAGCCCTAATCCTTTTTTTCTATATAATCATAATATCAAGGTTGAACTACAACATCTTTGTTGTATTATGAAGTGGTGAAATTCTTTGTATATTCCAGGGAAGCGCAAATAATATTAATAGTTATTCAAATAATTGAGACAGTAATCAACTATAGTCGATAATATAATTACTAAAACGGTCTTATATATTGAGCAGCTTATATCGAGCTAATATATTTATTCGAAGTTACTTCTTGTTACTTGCTTGTTGTTCTATTTATGTTTATATATAATATATATATTATTCACAAGAAACGGTTATGGAAGATGGTCTTTTATCTCCAGAAAACGTTGTCCTTTTATATGTTTTCTGGAGCTCGATCGATTATTCAGATTAGTACATTAATGACTTGACTGATTCACCCTAAAATTTATTACATTAATTTAGGTGCACTAGTGGATTAGAACTGCACCCCAATTCTCTAATCATGGTGATTAGTAATACACGTGGGACTTATTAAAACAATAGGTAAATTCTAGATTTGCCAAAATCTTATGTAATCTAATCTCTTTATTATGCAGCATCTAATGTTGTAGCACGTGTATGGCTTATTAAGACAATAAATAGTTCTAGATTTATTCAGTATCTTATATAATCTTGATGGTTATAACTATCCTATTCTGCAGCAATATTTCAGGGCGTTCAGGGCGTGTGGCGTAGTTGGTAGCGCGCTCCCTTAGCATGGGAGAGGTCTTCGGTTCGATTCCGGACTCGTCCATTCTATTTTTGCAACATATGATATCATTATATGTAACAACCCTGAGGTGTCTGATAACGGTAATTCTTGTTGAAATCTCTATAATATTTCACTTGGACAGATATAAGATATAGACTCTTTCTATATCTCTAGATGTAATATTCCTATATATCTATATATCTATATCTCTAATCTAAGATAACCTAATAGTATACAAGTGTATACTATATACCTAAACCTATGTAACCCTTGGTTCCTTGTTCGTCGTTCTTCTTAGTTGCTCTCTTTTACCTATATTGGTTACTTCTGCTTTTATGCATATTTGTAAGATTTTGCAAAAAGGAAAGTTTAGAAAAATATCGTCAACCCTCATTTTTCTAAACAAACCCTAAACAGTAATATCAGGGATATTACATTATGTCACTATGAATGATATTGTGAACTCTTTGGCCAACGAAGACATTCTTGTTTATATAAATATATGTATTTGCACCTATATATATTAATTTAGTCCTTTTCTAGAGTATAGCTTATGCAACATATATACACCAGCTAAAGATCAGTTATCCATTTTAAAATTCTAGCAGAGTATATCTCCCTTAATAGATCTTCATCTATTACAAATTCATTTTTTTAAATTTTTATTTTGATGTGTTGTCATCCAAGGAGATCTTAATTGTGGTCCCCAAATATGCAATATAATAGTAGTATATTGAAAGGTTACTATAAAAATAAGCATGCAATATAATAGACAGAGGGGCAAAAAATAGAAGGAATATAATATATTTGTATATTAACTATTAACGTTAATTATTATTATCTGCACATTTATAATCCTGTAACAAGATTTCTTTGTTTTATTTTGGAATCTTTAAATATATATCCGTAATCGAAAATTAGATATGTTAAATTTTCTTTTTTAGAAAAACTGAGTTCTTATGATTGTTATGATAACAATATGACTATTAGTTTATTTGTGTGATCTTTCACTCAAATTGATTTTATAAACTATTGTTTATGAATATAACAACTGAGACTTATATTTACACATACTGAGAAAAGTAAACAAACTATTACTAAATCTAATAAAAAAATACCATTTTTAAATATATATGATCAAATTTACATATCTATATGTATATAAAATTATTCCAGGTAAGCCCCATTTTTATTAAAATTGACACCTTTAAATTGTTCCAAATTTTCACCACCATAACTTAACTTATTAGAAACTTCTACAAGAACATTCTCCCCGACAAGAGCACCTGAATCTTTTAGCCATTGTGTTCCAAGCCTTAAGTAAGCTAAACGACTTGTCTCTGGATTATCTGTTTTTGAACCTGGTGCGTTTTTCAAAGGTGCAAATTCGTCCGATCTTTCAACTTCAAGACAACCAAACTTATCTAATGGAATGGTAGGAAAAACATCGAAAATAAATTGTTCTAATTTGATACCGTTAGGTTGTTCTGGCTTAATATAACAATCTTTTATATTATCGTAAGATGCAATCTTTTTTCTAGCCACATGGTAGGGAATATTATCACACCATTCATTTAGAAACTTAGATAAAAGATCAATATGATAATAATGATTAACAATATTTGCAGCACGAAATTGCAAAAGACCCTGTTCGTTTGTGCTCTCTGCCAATTCTTTGGAAATTTCAGAATATTCAATGACACAGGGACGATTGTCTTTGGCAACAATCAAACCAACTGATTCATGAGCGTCCCTTTTTCTCACTGCTTTAGTTGCTAATTGAAAATTATATTTTATCGCATATCCAACAAAGACGGGATCAGCCAGCTTGGATAGCACGTTGTCAACACAATAAACATAAATATGTTTTATGCCTCTTTTCTTGAAGTCTTCAACAATGTGGTTATCCCTTAATGATCTGTAAAGACCACCATTCCCATCTGGGGATTCTACTAATTGCAATGGGTTTGCCAATAATATATTTTTACCATCAGAGCTGAAAGCTGGTAGGGTTCCTTGATTGAAAAAGATAATTTGATCTTTTCTTAATCCAAAATAGTTATTATCTACAAAAAATTTCTCAGTGGCATCTCTTGTTGGAACCGAAGTCATAATATACCAAGGTATAACACAATCATTACAAATTTTTTGCAAAGAAATAATCTTTTCACCTTGAATTTGGAATAAAGATTTATGTGATGGCAGATTGATATCGTAACAACCTTTAGGTAAAGTTGAACCAAGTCTTGTACCTTGACCACCAGCCATTAAAATAATGGCAACTTCACCCCTTGAAATAGCATCACAACCTAACTTATAATATTCATTAGTAGCTTCGTCATTTCCAATAATCGAATGAAAAGAAGTAGATGGCAAAGGCTTGATTAAGTTAGGATCCACCTGAGAATTTAATTCTTGTAATTTAATTGCATTTTGACAATCAGTAAGTAGCTTGGATGGGGGACCTCTATTAGCCATATTACTTAAGTTAGAATAAAAAATTTCTTTTTCTTCATGAGAAAGTGAATTAATATGGTGAAATAGATGATCTTGACCTGCACTTTTGTACAGTTGTTCGACTGATTCCCAAGTCATATTGGACTGTTTATTATTATTACTACTGTTGCTATTTGTCTTTCACCTACTTATTCTTTTGTTTTTCCCTTTAATTTATAATTGAAAGCCAAATAAAAGAATACCTATGAATAAAACTTGAATAAATACCAAGCAGGAACGTGTATTATTTAGTCTATCTTCTTCTATATATATATATACATATATATATACATTTAATAGTAATTAACCAAAGGCAAAAGTACGTATACAGTAATAACAGCAAAAAAAAAGAAACAGCACAAATATAAAAGCAAAGGGAACAAAAATATATAGATCAATTGATCAAACAATACAGCATATTTATGTGTTTTACATTAGAAAAAGAGTACCCAAAAGTATCCTTCAGCCATTTTTGTGAAAACATTTTTCTTTACCTCGATGATCTCCTTTCGAGCAAGCCTTGTTTATTACCATATTAGGCAATATAAGTGCAGTAAAAATAGCAATATACCAATCAACAAAAAACAGACAAATAGAGAAGAAATAGGAGAACAACAAAGGATTTTATAACTATAAATAAAGGTTAAATGATATTTAAAAGTAAGAATTATAATAAATATTATACATACACACACATATACATATTCCAAGAAACAATAAATATCCTATCTAAAGAAGGTGACGTACATATATAATATACAATTACCTTAAGAAGAGGGGTTATACAGTAAAAATAAATAATAATTCAGACTAATATTATAAAAAAAAAGAACAAATAATATCCATAATCACTAATTAATTACAATGAAATATGACAATGCAGGCAAAATTAACTAACAGGGTATAAATTCTAATGTTGATCTAACAGTAGTGTCTCTATAAAGGGTACCAAACATATGATAATAATGGGAAATAACAAAGTGAACATGTCATATAGAGTGTTTTGATTTGGTTTTTCTTTTGGAAAATTTTGATACACTACGAAATTTTTTTCATTTTCTACATTATTTAAAAACAGGTTCAATATTTCACCATTTGGATCTCTTTTATGGAGACAACTATCTTTGCCTTTCTCCGAGGTATCTGATAATTTGAATGGATCTTTCCCATATTTATCATAAAACAATCAATATTCATCATAATTCAATGTCTTGTATGTGTTTTGTACCAATTGGAACATTTCTTGTGCAGTGGGATAATATTTTTTATTTAAATATAATTTTAAAATCAGATTCTCATATATTTTTTTCAAATCTTTATTACAAACACATATAAAAGTACCTAAAATATCATAATACGATTCAAGATTTTGTGAAGATATTGTATCTACTAATTCATGCTTATCGGATCCATTTTTATTGTAAGTTAATATACCAATCATTATAAAATGTATGCCTAATATTTCTTTATATAATTGTTTGTATTATCTTAATGTCTGCCTATAAGTAAATGATTAATTATTTGCATTTAGTTGGATTAAAAAGAACAAAAAAAGGAAAAAAATCCAATCGGTTTGCAAGAAATTTCACTGATATACACAACCACCAAGTTCCAATCCAATATTATTTGAGATAATAAATTCATCTCTTCAATATACCTTTCAGACAAAACATACAGTTGCTTGTTTAACACCACTTCTGTCACCACTATTTGCACAAAAAATAAAAAAGACATATTTCATAATTGTAGACGTATACGTAAGTGTTGATGATTTGATCTGATCAGGCATCAAAAAAAATACCAAGAAAGGGGGGGAGATAAGGTGCATTACATTTCCTTTTTAGGAAATTATCTCCCCACCTAAACTTCGAGGCACGGTCTTCTTTTCTTTTTTTTATTTTTTTGCCTACAATCTCATGTCCTCCCCCTTCCTTGAACATCTGGAGTGGCCGTATGAAACCATATTCCAGAAAATTTTTAACCAAAAACGTCATTTTATTTTTTTCGCTATCTTTTTGTGTCGCACAGAGGATTCGAACTCTTGTCTTTCCAATCACACGCTTCCATAAAAGAAAGGTCAATAAAAAAAACCACGAAAATAGAAAATTACATTACAAAAAAAAATTACTGAAAAGCGGATTTGAATCTCTACAGATAGAATAGGATATAGACATTTTAGAGATAATAATAATTTAGTGATGATGATAATAAGTAACTTTTCTCTTTTTCTTTTCTTCTCAATTGGAGTCATTTTATAATCAACTAATTGCCTGATACATTTTGGATATCATTTGTAGTTAATTATATTTAAACTACATCAGATCGCGTATTAATTAACATAGAATTGGTTTTTGCGTGGTGAGTTAAAGAACTAAATTGAATCAGATAAACATTCATATACATCTATCATTATATCACATCATATAACTATCTTTTTCTTTATTTGTTAATTCTTAACTTTCTTTTATTTTCTTTATTTTTTTTAACTATGGTTAGTGAATTAAAACGTCCTGGAGAAGATATTGATTCCGATAATGAAAGTGTTAATAGCAATTCTATCCAACAAGAAAAGAAATTAAAACTACAGTCACACAATTTCAGTCATGGTAGTCAGCCTGTATCTACTATTGAAATTATTCCCTCAGATTCTTATAGAAAATATAAAGAACAAGGTTTTAAATCCAAGGATCAGGACCTTCATGGTACTCAGATGGCCTCTCTTTTCGAAAGAGAGCTATCTGAATTAGAACATGAGGCTGCTGCATCCAAAGAACATGAAACAAATTATGCACGTAAGGAATTACCAAAAGACTTCGATCCAAATACATTTGATATATCTTTTCAACAAATAGATGCAGAACAGAGTAATTTATCTGGTTTCAAGGATGGAAACACTTCTAGCGTAGTAAGATTTTTTGGTGTCACCACAGAAGGTTATTCTGTATTGTGTAACGTCACTGGGTTTAAACACTATCTATATGTCCCACAACCCAATAGCGATTCTGCATCTGATCCTGAAGAAAGATCCAAATTTATAGATTATTTAAATGAAACATTTGATCATTGCATAGACACTATTGAAGTAGTAGAAAAACAATCTATATGGGGGTACATAGGTGACACAAAGATTCCATTCTGGAAAATATATACTACTTTCCCATCTGTAGTAAATAAATTAAGAACAGCTTTTGAAAAAGGACATATCACATTCAATTCATGGTTCAGTAATGGTACAACAACATATGATAATATCGCCTATCCGTTGAGATTAATGGTGGATTGTGGTATCGTAGGGATGTCATGGATAACATTGCCTAAATCAAAATATCATATGATTCCAGAAAATGAACGTGTCTCCACTGCACAACTTGAAATATCTATCAATTATAAAGACCTAATCGCTCACCCCGCCGAAGGTGAATGGTCCCATTCAGCGCCTTTACGTATATTGTCATTCGATATTGAATGTGCAGGTAGAGTTGGCGTTTTTCCTGAACCAGAACACGATCCTGTCATCCAGATTGCCAATGTTGTATCCATAGCAGGTGCAAAAAAACCATTTATTCGTAATGTATTTACTGTAGGATCATGTTCCCCAATAACGGGATCACAAATCTTTGCTCATGACACTGAAAAAGAAATGCTGAAACATTGGAAGGATTTCATTGTTCAAGTAGATCCAGATGTAATAATTGGTTATAATACTACAAATTTTGATTTACCTTATTTAATCAACCGTGCCCATGCACTAAAAATTGAAAGTTTCCCCTACTTTGGTAGATTAACTAATGTCAAACAAGAAGTCAAATCAAGTGTTTTTTCATCTAAAGCATATGGTACTAGAGAATCTAAAAATATCAATATAGATGGTAGACTACAATTAGATCTTCTTCAATTTGTTCAACGTGAATATAAGTTAAGATCATATACTTTGAATGCTGTGTCAGCACACTTTTTAGGAGAACAAAAGGAAGATGTTCATCATAGTATAATTACAGACCTATTTAAAGGTGACAGTGATACGAGAAGAAGATTGGCGGTGTACTGTTTAAAAGATGCATATTTACCCTTAAGATTATTAGAAAAATTGATGAGTTTAATCAATTACACCGAAATGGCTCGTGTTACAGGTGTTCCATTTTCCTATTTACTGGCTCGTGGTCAACAAATTAAAGTCATTTCCCAATTATTTCGTAAATGTATTCAAATTGATACTCTGATCCCTAATTTATCATCACAAGCCACTGACGAACAATATGAAGGTGCTACAGTTATTGAGCCTATTCGTGGCTATTACGATGTTCCTATTGCAACATTAGATTTCAATTCCTTATATCCAAGTATTATGATGGCCCACAATTTATGTTACACAACTCTGTGTAATAAAGCTACTGTGGAAAGATTAAATTTGAAAAAAGATGAAGATTATATCATAACGCCAAATGGTGACTATTTCGTAACAGAAAAGAAACGTAAAGGTATTTTACCTATTATTTTAGAAGAATTATTGTCAGCAAGAAAAAGAGCTAAAAAGGATTTAAAGAACGAAAAAGATCCCTTCAAAAGAGATGTTTTAAATGGTAGACAACTAGCCCTAAAAATTTCGGCAAACTCTGTCTATGGTTTTACAGGTGCTACTGTGGGTAAATTACCATGTTTGGCTATCTCTTCCTCTGTCACAGCCTTTGGCCGTGAAATGATCATGCAGACTAAAAATGCGGTACAGGAAAAATATTCTATTAAAAATGGGTACAAACACGATTCTGTAGTTGTATATGGGGATACAGATTCTGTTATGGTTAAATTTGGTTCTACTGATTTAAAAGAAGTCATGCAACTAGGTACAGAAGCTGCTGCCTATGTCTCCACATTATTCAAACATCCAATTAATCTGGAGTTCGAAAAAGTCTATTATCCTTATCTATTGATTAATAAAAAAAGATATGCTGGTTTATTTTGGACAAAGATTGACAAGTATGATAAACTAGATCAGAAGGGCCTTGCTTCAGTTCGTCGTGATTCATGTTCTTTAGTATCTATTGTCATGAATAAAGTTTTAAAAAAAATTTTAATTGAAAGAGATGTAGAAGGTGCATTGAACTATGTAAAGTCTATTATTGATGATATTTTACAAAATAGAATAGACATCTCCAAATTAATAATATCAAAGACTCTGGCACCGAACTATACTAATCCTCAACCACACGCAGTATTAACTGAAAGAATAAAGAAGAGAGATGGTGTAGGTCCAAATGTTGGTGATCGTGTAGATTATGTTATTATTGGCGGGAATGACAAGCTATATAACAGAGCGGAAGATCCATTGTACGTCTTGGAACATAATTTACAAGTAGATTCCAAATACTATTTGACTAATCAATTACAAAACCCTATTATCAGTATTATTGCTCCAATCATTGGCGAGAAGAAGGCGAATGCCATGTTTATTGTTAAATCTATTAAAATCAATACCGGTACTACTAAAGGTGGATTAATGGGATTTGTTAAAAAAGTTGATGCTTGTAAAGGTTGTCGTGCTCCGTTAAAGAAAGGTGAAACTACATTATGTTCAAATTGTTCGGCAAAATCCAGTCAACATTTTATTAAGGCATTATACGATGTCCGTGAACTAGAGGAAAAATTCTCGAGATTGTGGACAGAATGTCAACGTTGTGCAGGTACTTTGCATACAGAAGTTTTATGTTCAAACAAAAATTGTGATATCTTCTATATGCGTGTCAAAGTTAAGAAGGAATTACAAGAAAAGATAGAACAATTGAGTAAATGGTAGTCTTCTCTCATTCAATAATATATATGTGTAATCATAGGTTAAGTTTCAACAGTTTAATTTGGATTTCATACATATTATGAATGAATATACAGATAGTAAATATTAAATTTATTTGAAGTCTCTTTCCCCGTTTTCTTTATTATAATCTAAATATCATTATTATTCCCTCATATTCAGAAATTAACTTAAACTTAAGCCAAACTAAATAAAGGAAAAAGATATCAATAAGATATGTTTAAACTGTATAAATTATCTATAAACACGAAAGTTCTGTATATGTTTTGGGCAATTGATTTTCAGATAATTGCAAACGTTTCATATCAGTAGCAACTTCTGCATTCCGTACATCTTTAAACCAAGGATGGGCCAAAACATCGTCAACATCATATCTTTTTTCTGGATCAAGAACTAACAAGTTTGATATTAGATGAAGAATAGTATCGTCAATATTGTCCCAATAAGGTGAATAAAATGCGTACTTAGCTTGCAAGATTTGTTCTTTTAATGATGGAGGACCCAATTGATCACTGAAAGGTGGGAATCCACATAAACAGACATACAAAATAACACCTGCACTCCATAAATCAACTTTTGAGGTATACCCTTTCTTTGTTAGCACTTCTGGAGCTACATATGATGGAGTACCACATAATGTATTAGTGAATTGCAATTCCCCAGTGAATTTGGCTAATCCAAAATCAGCAATCTTAACTTGGATGTCGATTTCGTCTGGGTCCCATGGCCCTAATTGTTTTTGATCTGGTGAGGTTCTCTTAGTAATATTTAAAAGAATGTTTTCTGGTTTGATATCTCTATGAATAATGTTCTGACCATGTAGGTATTTTAAACCAGTTATAATTTGCTTGAAAAGTGCCTTTGATTCATCTTGTCTTAAACAAGTCTTTTTAACAACTCGATCAAACAATTCACCATCATCAACCTTTTCAAGTACTAAATACTTTTGAATCTGCGATTTACTTAAGGGTTCTACAAAACTGTCTAGTAGGTTAACAATATTTGGATGATGTATACTCATAAGGATACTTGTTTCTTCTCTAAATTGTTTACTTTTCTTTTGATCATCATTTTTTTGTGGATGGAAGATTTTGATAGCTACTGTTTGACCCGTCTTTTTATTTTTGCCTTCCTTAACAATAGCATAATGACCAGAACCTAAATCTTTACCTAGAATATATTTATCGAATACAGATTTTGGCTTAGTTTTCATAATCTTAAATGCGGCATTCTGACTACTTGTAAATGCAAACTGTGGTTTTTTGAAAACAGTGTCATCCTTTTGACTTGGAATCAAAATATTTTCATCAGTTGAGTTCCCAACATTTTCATTGACAGAATCAATTTTAACTTGCGATTTCTCTGTGACATTATTACTTTGGAAAGTTTGATCTAAAGTCTCACTAAAGGAAGGATATTTGAAAAGAAAAGAACAACTTTTACCAAAGACAACTTTATCACCATTCTTCAAAATACAATCCTTCCTTACCAATCTATTCCCATTAATAAAGGTACCGTTTCTACTTCTATCTATTATATTCAACAATTGTCTCTCTATGCCATCCACATTCATATTAATTAAATTCAATTCACAATGGACAGTAGAAATATCAGGCTCACGAAGAATAATGTCACATGATCTACTTCTACCAATTGTAGTAACAGGCTTATTGTATATAGCAATTTTTTGTTCTTTACCTGGAATGATATTGACAAGGGTAGCTATTTGGAGTTTAAGCGTTTCTCCTAACCCGGTCTGCTGTCTCTTTGTCTCTTGTATAACCAGCTCATCTGATCTCTCTCTTTTAGTTATCTTTGTGAACATTTGGCTTTAACTTAACGTAATGTAACCTAATCCTTTTGATTCTTATTTTATATGGATATGTGGATTCCTCTTAATAAAAAATAAAACAAAAATAACAAAGAAGCAATAGACGGAAACTTGACTAATATAAAATGCAGACACTAATTCTACCAGATTCTATGAAAATTAACAACACAGTTTACACATGTATATATATATATATATATATATGTATGTATGTATCATCGATAGTAATTTTTTAAGAAATCAACAGTTAAAGAAACAATTTTAATTTAAAGATTTGATCCCTCTTCTTTAAATCGTTTCTTTTTTTTCTTCCACATTGATCTTACAAAAAAAGACAAAACATAGTATTTTTATAATGTATGGGTGTTTCTCGTTTACGCGTTTACGCGTTATCTATTTCCATATTTGGTAAAAGGTAAACAAACCCGTTGCCACGGTTCATATACACAGAAGAATAAATAAAGATAAACCAACAATATATAGTGTGGATTCATACACTGTAATCTTTCTTTAGGTCTAAGAGACAATTGGTAATGCATCTGCCTATTTGAGGAAAAAGTATTCTAAAGTAATTAATTATAATAGATACTATCTATTCTTATTAAATAAATTTTCACATATATATATATATATATATATACTGGTACACGGAAACAAAAAAAAAGAATGATGGTATTATATATTAAAATATTCTAATTATAACTAATAAGAGGTTCTATTATATAATTTTTTTCTTTTTCTTCTTGTTTAATCTTGTTCTCAATCATCTTCCCCCTCTTTCTTCTCTACTATTTTTTATTTCTTAATTTATTTTTCTTGCTAATTCTTTTCTTCTAATTCATAGATGATATGATTGTCAGTCTCCGGATTATATTCTTTATTTAAAAACTGAGAGAATTTGGTTAAATTATTTAAACCTCTAATCTCACCAGCACATAATGGCATCTTAACGACGTGGAAATCTTCGTATAACTCATCAATTTGATCCAAGTACTTACGTTGCATCTTCCATCTAGATTGACATCTTTTGCAATTATGTTCTTTATCATATTCAGCAAACAATAATTGGTTGACAATAATTGCATTCACATCCATGTCATATGATATTAGTTCTTGAATCAATCTTTCTGTCTCATATAAAGACAAAAATTCACTGATACAGACACAAACAAAAGTAGTCAAATCTGGATCAGTGAATTGTTGTCTAATAGTCTCCACATTGGATTTCAAATCATTCAATTTCGATGCAATATCAACATTTCCCGCACCCATCATAGAATTTAGCATTGGCCCTAATTTACCTGTAATTTCACTGAATTTTTCCAATAATTTAGACAATGTGTTTGGCAACTGTAAAAATCTTAAAGTGTGACCAGTTGGTGCAGTATCAAAAATGACAGTATCGTACACTTCACCTTCCCCACCCTGTTGCTCTTGTCTTTTAATATGTTTCATAACCTCCATGAAAGACAAGGCTTCGTCAATACCTGGGATAGACCCAGTCAACTCAGCTAACCCGCCACCTTGCAATAAATCAGCTAAGTTATCACCATCATCACCGTTACCACTGCCACTGTTAGCTTTAGACACAGCTAAATCATTCATATCCTTTAATGCAGCAGAAGGATCAATCTCCATACAAGATAAATTCTTCATACCAGTAACTTTTCTTGCATCTTTACCAAATTTTTCACCGAATGCATCACTTAAGTTATGGGCAGGGTCTGTAGAAATCAATAGAAATTGTTTATTTGGTTGAGCTAAAGCCATTTGGATAGCAATGGAACATGAAGAGGTGGTCTTACCGACACCACCTTTTCCACCTACGAAAATCCATTTGTGAGTAGTAGATGTAATCAAAGAATGTAAATTACTTTCAACTGCGAAATCCATCTTATTGGTTTATATATGACGTATATCTGTGTCTTTTACTTGCAGCTACGTATATATATATATATATATGTTATACCACAATAAAAGAGATAAAAATGATGATACTCTATATTTATGAGTATTGAATTAATCAATTTTTAATTAACTGTGTTTATATTCTAACGTTTATATTGTTTAGTCGTTCTTGTTTTGCAATATTTTTTTTTTTTCTTTTTCATATAATGGAAGAAACACACCAATTTTATTATACTGATAAAAAAAACGATAAAAAAAAAGCAAACCAACAAGCCACATTTTTTCAAACCCAATCAAGAGTATATTTAGGGTCACTAAAGAATAAAAAGTATTTTTACAAAGATATGTCGTTTATAATGTAGGGTTATATAAAAAAATTACTTATATTTTTTTTATTTCTCTTTGTTTTATTTTAAATATTTTTATCCTTAAAAACAAACAACAAAATTGGTAAAATCCTTTTCTTTTCAATACATTACAAGAATATATACGCTTAAAAAACGCAGATTCTTATTCCTACCTATACATCTGTCATACACAGTAACAAAATTTGCAATATTGCTTATTTAAGTTTGTTGATACTGCAAGGTTAATAAAGATTAACATCGCGCAATTTATTGAGAAACTAATTAACTTTAAGTAACTCTTTAAATAAATATAGGGGGTCAAAACAGTTTCCATTTTTTTTTTAATATTTATTGATTTTTCAATTTAATATATATCTTTTTATTGTGTTGTATTTGAATAATTAAAGTTTCAAATATGTCTGAAAATAATGAAGTTGATGAGAAGAGGGCTAAACAATTAGAAGAAGCAAGAAAAAGGGTCCAAGAATTGAAAAAGAAGAAGAAGAGTAAAAATAAAAAAAATAAGAACAAGAATAATAAAGATACTGAAACTGAAACTGATAATAAGAAATATGAGGAGGAAATTCAAAATGAAAATGACCCCGTCGCTAATACTGCTAACAATAATACGGAGCTAAATAATGGTATTAATAAAGAAGAAAATACTAAAGAAGAAGAAGAAGCAACAGCAACAACAACAACTAAAGAAGATGGTATCGAGGAAATTTCAAATGACTCTGAAGTAAATATTGTTGGAAATGAAAGTAAAGAGATAGAAAGCAATGAAGAAACACGACTAGAACTACACAACAAAGCGTTTGAACAAAGTGAAGAATCTAATAAAGTCGATGAATTATTTGGTGATGTGTCCAACGATAATAACGAGTCTGACAATTTTTTAACTACTATTGAAAAAGAAAAACAGGAAATTGAAATTGTTAAATTAAAAGAACAAATAGAAAAATTGTTGGAAGAAAAAAAACAGTTGAAGTTCACCAATATGGAGCAAGAAACGTCTATCGAAGAATTACAAGAAGAAGTAAGTGAATTGAAAATGAAACTAAAAGAATCAGAGGATCAAATAAATGTAATGACTGTTAAACTAAATGACACTGAAAATAAGTTAAAGGAAATAGAGTCTTCTAGAGAATTATTTAATGATTATAACTATAATCACACCAATACATCAAATACTGGTCTAAAATTTGCTAGTTTCCAATCATCTTCTGGTGGAAACACACCTGTTCAATCTACATATTCGAATACCACCGTCAGTCCACAAAATGTGTCTGAACATATAAATAATAAATCTCCACAAGTAGTTGTAGATCGTGTTTTATTAGATAAATGGAAGAATTGGAATATTGACATGACCACATGGAGGAGTATTGGATCAGGACCTGTTGTTGAATTGTAGAATAATAAAAGAAGAAAGAGAAAGACACTAGCTTTGTGAAACATTTTGTAACACTCGTAAATGCACCAACACAAATAATCATATATTTATGTACTTTGTAGAATAATATATAGACAAAAAAATAACTCATAATATTAATATACATATGTACCCAGTTAATATTATTTAATGTGTCTGAATATTCACTTGTAAAATAAGAAATGAAAATTAAATAATCATGATTCTTACCAAAAATTAACTAGTATTATTTCTTAGTGGATTCAAACCTTGTAAATCCCATTAATTTACTTATTTGTGAATCGTTCGTACTTATTTTATCGACTTTTCCTATTTTTATCTTGCTATTAACTTTCAAATTCTTTGAATCCTTGGAATCCTTTGACGAACTAAAGATTTGGTGACTTTTGATAAATTGTTTTATCTCACGTAAATATGAATCATGAAATTCTTGCACTGAAATATCATCATTATCCCTCTTATTCGATATCAAATCCTCATCAAATATAGTTTTAAATTTAATTTGGTGTATTTTACTGTTTAGGTGATCAATGTATTGTAAACTATCTTTAAAAGTTAGATTACATAAATCGCAATAAAAACCAAACTGTTTGCCTCTTTTATATTGTGATATATTAGTACGTAAAGTTTTTTGATTTAGTCCCTTTATTGAATCTCTCATTATCTGATCATAATTTGTATATTTTTTCTTTAGCAGCATTAATTGTTCATCATTGAGTTCACGTAATTTATTATCATGCTCATCTTTGCTGGCATTACTATCATCATCCTTATGTATAATAAATTGACTTCTATCCCATGTTCTTCTTCCAAATTTTGTATCCATTTTTATATATAATTGTATTAAATATATTGCAGTATAATCTATAGATTAACTATATATATCGTTTTAATAATAAGTTCCTCAACTTAAACCTCATATTCCAACTTAAGGTTTTTTTTGCTTAGATTGAATATTCTCTTCTAAATGATCCAAGGGAGGTATGATTTTTAGTATTAGGCTATATATTTAGTTACTGACCTTTACATTTATCCATTTAATTGTATATTTTCTTGTTTTCTTTTTTGTTTTGTTTTTCTTTATTAGTCTTATTTTGTTCTAAAAAGGGTGTTCTTCATCAGAGATATGCAACGTTAACATATAGTGAACATTTTATTTTACGAATTCAAAAGAGCACATACCAAGAGTCCACAAAACCATTAAATGATTACAGACAAAATTATAAAAGCATCAGTACGTTGTTAAGATGATATATATATATATATATGTTTATAATTCGAACTAATAAAGAACACTAGCCTTTTCAAACAATTGATCTACAACTTTATTTAATTGTCCAACCAATTCCAAAGCGCTATCGTAAGTAGCATCTTGTCTTGGGGTATTGTAAATGTATAACCATCCATTTCCTTGATCCAAGACACCATAGAATACTTTATCTAATATCATTTGTGAAAGTTTCCCTTCGACTTGTTCTACATCTAATCCAATCATCTTTGCAATATGTGAGATTTCAACACATTCAAATGGCTCAATAATTTTACAAAGATTAGATTCTAATAAAGTATCGTATAAGGCATTGAAATGAGATCTAATTAAATCATCTGTCATTAAATCATTATGGTACACTTTCAATGCATTGTTAAATTCTAATAGAGATCTATTATTATAAGCTTCAGCTATAGCTTTCATAGCGTCAATTTGACGCGATTGATATGTTTTCTTTGTATATTTAGCATTCAATATCTGTTTCACATCATCGATAAGATTTAACATAATCTTAGATAATAGCATATATTTTAATACGGTGCATGCTCTTTCGTATGAATTGTGTGTTGTTAAATTATGGTAACTTTCAAAACTTTCATAGAAATATGAAAAGGCAGTTTTATAATCCTTATCTTCACAATGTAGAACCCCACTCATTAAATCTAATTCAGCCATAGTTACTGTTGGACAATAGATAGAATTTGCGGCTGTTCTTGATGCAGTCAAAGCAGCCTTAGATTTTGCCAAATTTCTCAGTTTATGATAAATTTTGCATTCTAAAAGATGGACATCAACTAAGGATGGTTTATCATCTAACTTTTTAAACTCGGTCAGCAAGGAAATAATCAAGTTCAAGGCATCTTTATATTGTTTCTTTTGATAATGCAAATTAGCTAATTTAATAGTTAAAGAATTCTTCAAAAACATTCTTTTCTCTCTTTTAGCAAATTCGATACTCTTTTTACAGACATATATTTGGTCATCTAATGAATTTGGAACTTGTTCAAACTTATCAATCAGAGTTTTTAAAATCTTAGCAGTTTTAGATTTTGCCAGTCTCATGGAATAGTCTGTTGATTGAAGAATAAATTCACGTAATTTAGTGATATTTTCAGTAGTGATATAGATCTCACCAAGTTCAAGTATACAGGATTCCAATTCATTCTTACCCTTTTCAGTTAAATCAGTTGCCTTAATGTCACGGTCCAATATGGAAATATACTTAGATTCAGCTTCATCAAATTTTTTTTTCCTTACCAATTGTCTTGCAATATCTATTTCTAACATGATTTCTGTGATTTATAAGTATATGTAATGATTATTAAGTAATTTTATATTATGATAAGTTAAATAGGTTCCTTGTCTGTTTTCTATGTTTGTTAAAATACAAAAAAAAATAGAAATAGAAATAAAAAAATAATCAGTATCTAATGCTATTGAACAAAAATAAAGTTATTGGATGTATATATTGTTTTATATATGGACAGTTATGAACGGTTTTGATCTCTTATTTTTATTGATCTTCTTAATGTTTTTTTTAACATATACTCTGGTTATTGCAAAAACGTATATTAAAGGAAGAAGATTTCTTTACTATGTGGTACTTTACGCCACCAATTATGGTGAAATAACATAAAAACGAAAATAATCAGCTTGATCACATGATCTCTTTATTTTTATTTTTTTTGAACATTTGAAAACAAAGAGTATCTTCAAAAATGTTATTTTTCACGAAAATCGGTAACTATTGTTTTTTTCAGACAACCAAATATATGTATACTGGAGTTATACACAGTACAAATGATTATATTTAAGGTTAGACTGTATGTAATATGATCAACAAGTTTTTTGGGTTATATATTAAATCAATTGAAACACAATTAAATAAAACATAGGAAACCATTAAGATGAGATAATTCTTTTTTGTGCAGGATTTGAACAACAAGATTGAAAACGAGTAAAATCTCAAGTTTAATAGTAGAATCAATTGATTTTTATTATCCAGAGAAAATGTATCAGCAAATGTTTTTTTTTTTACTTGAGAGAAAAATAAAAAATAAAAGATAAATAAATAAGTAAATGTGGTAAAATATATGAATCAGTTATAGAAAGGAAGATACCATTTTGACATTATAAGTCTGCATGTTCCCAAGTTCGAACCACATTGCCACTAAATAATTGTAAATAAAGCCTTGAAAGTAATTGACTTGATATACGTCATATAATATGAAAAAGTTTAGAATTGTAAATATAGAAGAAAATGGAAATTTTAGTAAATCGAAAAACGGATAGTTTGTTTGCTTGTTTGTTTAACATATTTCTTAATTCATTTCATCTTCGAAAGGCTTTTAATTGTTCACATGAAAAGTTGTTGTTTTTCTTTTGTTTTTCAATTGTTGTTCGAGCGTTCGAGCATTCGAGCATTCTTTTGTTTTTTTTTTTTTTTTTTTTTTTTTTAGTTTTTTCCGGGAACTCCAGGCTTTGTTTCCCTGTTTCTTTGTACTCTGGACCGATAGATGCTGCGTGTGTGGGCCTCTTCTCGATTTTGAAAACATCTTCTCTACTCTTTCCCTCTTTTCTGTCTCTCTCTCTTTCTCTTGCGGAAAAGAGGGGGAAATATGAAATTTTTCTTTTTCCCTCACACTGTTTCGATCGGTTTCATTTCACAGTTTCCACTGTATATCCGTTGATAGGAAATATCTATATATAATAACGACAATCATGCACATACATATATACACACACATATATATATACATGTATGTATATTGACATTTATTAATTGCTTAGTTTACACTTGCAGGCTGTATTTATTTCTGAGTTTAGATTTTATGATATTTCTTTGCATCGCTTATCGTATTTTTACAGGCCTTTTTTATTTTAGTGCTATATATTTTAGTTGTTCACTTTTAAAACACTGAAACTGCACATATATACATAAAGACATTCATATTTATTTATTTTATTTATTTTATCATTAATAATTTATTTATAACTACAATATGTCTAAATACAACGAGCTGGTTAAATCCTTATCTGAAAATGATATTTTATCACAATTTTCAAATGATATAATACCAATCTCCAATCGTCCAAATTCTAAATCCAGTGAAATTTCAACAGAGGATGATGCAGAATTCTCAGGTCACGATGAAGAACAGATCAAACTAATGAATGAAAACTGTATAGTTCTAGATTATAACGACAACGTTGTAGGTACTGCCACTAAGAAAACATGCCATCTACTGACTAACATCGAACGCGGGTTGTTACATAGAGCCTTTTCGTGTTTTATTTTTGATTCCAATGGGAAACTTCTGCTACAAAGAAGAGCTAAAGAAAAGATTACATTCCCCCTTTTGTGGACTAACACATGCTGTTCTCATCCATTATCTATCGATGATGAAATTGGGGACGTTACTAATACAGATCTAAACAAAAATGTCAAAGGTGTCATTAATGCAGCCATTAGAAAATTGGATCACGAATTAGGTATTCCAGCAGATGATTTGAAGAGGAAGGGTGAATTCCATTTCTTGAATAGAATTCACTACATGGCCCCATGTAATGATCCAGAAAATAGATGGGGGGAACACGAAATCGATTATATTTTGATTTATAAAGTCGAGAAAGATAAGTTCTTGACAATCAATCCTAATTACAACGAGGTCGAGAATTACATGTGGGTTGACAGGGAACGCTTCCAGGAAATGTTGAACGATAAGGAAAATTGTCATTTTACACCATGGTTTAAAATCATTTGTGAAAATTATTTGTTCACCTGGTGGGATCAATTAAATGATTTAACTAAAGTAGAAAATGATACCAATATTTATAGAATGTTGTGAATGTACATATACATATTAACCACACAGATAAAGACATAAGTGTATATATATATTTAATTATTTATTTGTTTAATTCTTGTTTTTTAAGTATTTATCTATGTATATATATATATATAAATGGTGTTATTTACATGTTATTTATTTTTGTGAAAAAGAGGAATTGTTAAAGGTTAAGAGAAGGGGAAGAAATGAAAGAAGATAGGATATTGATTAAAAAATAATAATGATAATAATAATAAAGATATAATATAGTATGTTTAGTCTTTCCCGGTATTCTCTAGCGTATACAATAGATCATTGATTTCTTTCTTTGAATTCTGCCTTCTACTACCCATTGACTGATTGTGTATGAAACTCTGTTTATTAAAATTCAAATTCATGTTCATATTATTGTGGTTGTGGCTGTTGTTATTACCATAACGATTATTTGGATTTGACGTTGATAAAGTCTCCTCATTTGGTTTCATTACAGTTATAGTGGATGCAGTCATATGGATTCTACCATTTGGCTCCATTGTAACATTTTCAACCTCAAATGGTAACACCAATTCTCTTAGAAAACTGCCCATACCATAACTTATTTTTGCACCATTATTGAAATTAGCTTTAGCCAAGAACCCACCAATAGCTGCACTATACATGACATTATTTTTATTACTAGAGTGACTGTTGTTATTATTATACATACCACCGTGTGTGGAGGATCTCATACCTCTATTTGTTGTATTAGATAGGATTCTACCTGGCACTATAACTTTGTCTCGTATCCCGTGTGGTGTAACCTTTAACCTACCGCTAAGGTTATATGTTAGACCTCCAGTACCAACGATTCTATCATTTATATATCCAATTGGGTTATTTTTGGATTTAGAATACAATTTTTCTTGTAAGAATTGTGAGGCCTTGTCTTTCAGTTCCATCGAGTTAAATCTTTTATGTAAAAGAGATTCAGGATAGTTTGCTAACAACCATTCTTTAAATTCCTTTCTATATTGACGCAATAGATTTAATTTAGATTTCAATTGAATCTTTTCTTGTTTCATAGTCATAGTACCATGATTCCCATTATGATGATTGTTAGGTGATGTAAGATTATTGACATTTAACACTTGTGAGATCATTCTTAATTGGGAATCGCCAATAACTTGTCTATTACGATAAGTGTTGGTATTTTTTCGAGGAGTTTCATCACAAGAATTTATACTAGGACTATTATTGTTATTGCTATTGATATTATTATCACTATTACTTTCATCGATTAATTTATTTTCTTTAAAATTAAAGAGGGGATTTCTTTGGCCTATGTTAAATTTAGGTATAATACCCATTTCTTGAAATCTGATTCTATTCCATTGAGAACCACCATTATATTCAAATTGGGTCATTCTCTCTAAAGTGTCCAATTGTTCAACAACCATATACTTGGTCTGCTTTTGGTATTTGTTAGTTGGAATGCTGTTTTTCAAACCCCAATCATTTCTGGCTAAAGAGCTTGGTTTGGTTTCAATAATTTGATGCGTTGGAAAATGTGAACCCCTTAATGTGAAGGATAATCTATGCCTTAAGGATGGTTTAGCAACTTGTGCCAATTTACTCTCGCGTAATAGATCAGACACAGAAGGCATTTAATTTTTTTTTTTTTGTCTTTTTTGGCTTCTTAATAATATTTTTGATGTATTCGTTGCATTCAACTATTGACACCCTTTTGTCTGTGTCTTTCTATCTTTGCTTATCTTTGTCAGTCCTCCAAAAACTTTCCTTTTTCTTTGCTAACTCATTTTTGTTATTTTTTTTATCTTTGTTTTATTTGCTCTGATTCAGACACTATACTGTATATTTTCGTTCAAAATGACTTTACAGAGTGTTCCCTGGTGTTATCGTGTGTTCGAGTTACGGCGGAGGTGTTGTAAAACTTTCTGTTCGAGTTTTCTTTTGTTTGTTTTCCTCAGTTTCCTTGATGACATCCATACACCACATGTAGGACCGGACTTTTTATTTTTATTGTTCATTTCTGATTCTTTGGTGTTGTGCCATGCCGTCATATATTTGTCATTATCGTTTTATAGTGTTGTTTTTCCAAAAAAAAAAAAACATAAATAAATAAAAAATAAAAACAATAGACACTCAAGTCTGCTCACTTTTTTTTTGTGTTCTAATGATGTGTTATAAACAATTAAATATTGAATGATAATAGACAAGGAAACAATAGTCAAATTATTGTCATATGTTTCATCTATTCTTGTCACACATATAGAGACAAAAGAAATATTAAACATTTGTTTATTTTCACAGGTAAAAAGAGAACAAAGGACACATAAAACAAGCAAAACAAGCAAAACAAACAAACACAAGACGTATACAACAAACTTAAGAGAGTGTTATATTTATTTATCTGGCAGTCTCTATATCTCTTTTTCTATCTTTGGAGCACCGCTAATTATCCAGCTAGGAATATTACACAAATTTGATTTCTTGAAAAAATTTTCATATAAATAGGGGAGTGGATACAGAAATATATATGTATATATATATATATATATATGTGCATATCATTTTTACGTTCTGCGAAATTATATAGATTTATTTAACTTCCTTTTAATTATGATATAAAGAAATATAGATACATATAACATTATACATATACATATATATTTATATTTATATTTATATTTATATTTATATTTATATTTATATTTATATTTATATTTACCCTTCATATTAATAATAAAAATACATTACACTCTATTAAGTCTGTATATACAATATAATAACAGTTCACATTAAAAAAAATTTTTTTTCTTGCTCACTATGGGTTATATACCTCCTCATTTAAGAGGTAACACTGAATCTGATATTAATACTTTTGAATTAAACAATAGAAATAAAAATAGAAATAAAAATAAAAATTTGCAAATAGATCTAAATATACCATCTTTACCATTTAATAAAAATAAAGTGGAGACAACAACAACAAATACAGCCGATAATAATAGATTTTTCCATAATAAAAAAAACTATCACTCTAATAGAGATAATAATTATAACAAAAATATTAATGTAAATTATCCTAAGTCATATAATTATAATCCAAATTTCCGTAAGAATAATAATAATAATAATAATAATAGTAATAGTAAAAGTTACACATCTCCTCATTCAAGATGGATCAATGGGAAACATTGCCCTGCTCCACGAAATGAACGAGTAGAGATTCAGTTATTTGGTGACACAAGTTTAGTACCAAATAATCATTCAGGTATCAATTTCGACAACTATGACGATATACCTGTTGAAGCATCAGGTGATAATGTACCAGATCCAATAGAAGATTTTAAATCTCCTCCTCTAGAACCTTTGCTTTTAGAAAATATTCATTTGGCTAACTTTATTAAGCCAACCCCTGTTCAAAAATATTCTATACCTATTGTCACTCAAGGTAGAGATTTAATGGGTTGTGCACAAACTGGTTCTGGTAAAACTGGTGGGTTTTTATTCCCAATTTTATCGGAAATGTTTTTAACTGGTCCAACTCAAGATCATTCTTCCTCAACAGAACAACAACAACAATTAGGTAATAATGATCACAACTATTACTCTTATTATGCTAAAAAGGGGTTACCAAGGTGTATTATTCTCTCTCCAACAAGAGAACTAACTACACAAATTTATCAAGAAGCTGTCAAGTTCACTTATAGGTCTTGGGTTAAACCCTGTGTAGTGTATGGTGGTGCTCCTATTGGATTACAAATGAGGGACATTAATTCTGGGTGCGATTTATTAGTAGCTACACCAGGTAGATTGAATGATCTAATAGAGCGTGGCAAGATTTCTTTGAAAAATGTCAGATACCTAATCCTAGATGAAGCTGATAAAATGTTGGATATGGGATTTGAACCACAAATTAGACATATTGTTGAAGGATGTGACATGCCATCTGTAGAAAAAAGACAAAACTTGATGTTTTCTGCTACTTTCCCAGTAAATATTCAACATTTAGCTCGTGATTTTTTAAATAACTACATTTTCTTGTCTGTCGGCAGAGTTGGCTCAACATCGGAAAACATTACTCAACAAATTTTATTTGTGGATGATGCTGATAAAAAATCTACTTTATTAGATCTTTTATTAGATTCCTCAAAAGGGTTAACTTTAATCTTTGTGGAGACTAAGAGATTAGCCGACCAACTGACGGATTTTTTAATTTTACAAAACTTCAGGTCGACTGCTATCCATGGTGATAGAACGCAGATTGAGAGAGAACGTGCTTTAAGCGCATTTAAAAGTGGGGCAGCTAATATCTTAGTCGCCACAGCAGTTGCTGCAAGAGGTTTAGATATCCCTAATGTAACATTAGTCATCAATTTTGATTTACCTACAGACATAGATGATTACGTTCATAGAATCGGTAGAACTGGTCGTGCAGGTAATACTGGTGTAGCAATCTCATTTTTTAATGAAAATAATTCAAATATTGTTAAGGATCTTATTGCGCTATTAAAAGAAACAAATCAAGATGTTCCACCTTTCTTAATGGATGCTATAAGGTACTCCTCCAAGAAAAATTATTCTAATGCTCATTCTAATGATATCCATGCTTTTAATAATAGATATAATTATAGAGGTAGTGGTAGTAATAGTGGACGCAGAGGCGAGAGTACAAGAGATTTTAGAAAATCAACTACAGGCAATTCTTGGGGTAAATATTCAAGAGGTTACGGAAATAATTGGAGCAATAGTGGGTTTGGTTCATCTTCCTCCTGGAATAATACCGATAGACAACAAGGTTCAAGTAATTCTTGGTGGTAAGCGGAGAAAACAATATTGCTAAAAGTTTTTCTCCATGCCTCTGGTCTCAATTTTTGAACAATCTCTTTACTTTTCTTTCTTTTTTTTTGGCCAAAATTTATATTTATACTGTTTTCTTTTCCTATATATATATATGTCTATAAATATTCCAAAGATTATGTTAGTTTTTTTTTTCTTTCTTTTTATATTCTCTATCTTTTAAACTGCTTCTCATCAAAAACAAAAAAGTATTAGAAAAAAAGAGATAATAAAAATTATTGAGAAACAATATCTAAATTTTTTGTAGAAAGTAATAATAACCATTTTAAATTTGTTAATAAAAATTTCATTGCAGTGGTCCATTTGATATCAGGTTCTTTACCATAAAGAGTCACTGATAATGAATTGATTTTCCCATCAAATATTGGATACGGTAGTTCATCTATTGTTGTATTATTGACATTAGTTTTTGTTAATGATGACCTTTGAACATACTTGCTTTCATTAGATAGTCTATTTTCAATATTATTAGTAGTAGCAGACTCACTATTATTTCTATCTTGAGTGTTATTAGCAGTAAATATGCTATTTTGAACCGGGTTTAAGATATATTGAGATAACTGTTGAACAATATCAAGTAAACTTTCTAAACTTTTATCAAAATTAGTCTCAGAATGAAATAATTTGGTAAATTTGAAATTTTCATCATAGTACACTTCTAAAGTTGTCCAGTTTTTAATAGTTATGTCATACTTCAATATCTTAGAATAGGATCCTAGTGGTTCCAATCGATAATTTTTTAATGGATAATTCAGCTGGTCACTGAGTAGTCTTAATAATAGTACAACTTGGCCTAATGCTGCATTTATTTCTTTCCATGAGACTGGAATCTTATATATGCTACCTAATCTTAATCCGTTAATCGTACCAAATGGACCCTTATGTGATATTTTAAATGTCTCATTATAAATGTTGGTTTTCCTCAATAAATCTAAATTGTTTAAAGAAGTCTCATATTGATTCTGTATATTTTGTAATTCAATTTGAAATTCGTATTGAGATACTTCTTGTAAATTGATTTCTTCCATTAAAGAATCGTCTTCTAAATTTTTCTTTTTTAATTTTTCTGTTAATTTTGAAATCTCTCTATCTAAATTTTCCTCGTCTTCCTCCAATTGTTGTAGCTTTTCAAGTAATAAATCTTTCTCTTTTAAAACATCTTCATACTCTAAATCTAACTCCTCAGTGATATTATTGAAACTACCTGTATTATCTCTCTTTATATCCTTATGGTCATTGGGTTTCGTCAAAATATCATCTTTACTTTGAATAGAATGTTGTCTTTTCAATCTTTCTAGAAATTGAGAATACAGCTCTTTCTCTTCCAATGTTTCATTATAGTCCTTTTTTAATTTTTGTATTAATATGTCACAACAATCTTGACAAATCGGATAGTCTATGGAACTCTTTGAAGACAAAATATTGAAGATATTTGATAATGTAGATATTTGGGTAGAGAGTGTCTTCCCTGAATTTAAAGTACTCTGTAGTCCGCTTTTGCTACTACCGACATCAGTTTCAAATTTTCCATCATCGACTTGTGAATTTTCATTTCTAGTTACAACTGGAACTGTAGGTTGGTCTTTTTCAGAATTGTTATTCAAGGACGACAAACGATTTATCCGACTACTACTTATAACATTCTTCAATTTATTCAGTCTTTCTTTAGGAAAATAGTCACCATGAAGTATAGTTTCCGTGGTATCTTGGTCGCCAATACTAGTAACAATTAAATTTCTTTGAGATAAACTCAAATCTAATAGGGATAAATCTAGTTGAAGTGGTAAATGACACTTCTGACATCGTAAGGAATGGTCCTCTTGTGTACTAATCATGATATTGTTTAATTTAGAAATATAAAAGAAATAGGGGTATGAGAGATCTGCTGATAAAAACTGTCCAAATTACTATTCCATTTGTTCTCTAAAAATTTTATTTACTAATTTGAATTTATTTACAACTCAGAAGTTTATGTATTTATTGATCTATATTGTATAATTTATAAATGAGCTGAGAAAGGTAGGAAAGATAGGAAAGAAGTAAAGAAGTATATTTTACATAGATAAGTCTATAAGATAAAAAAGAAAAGAAAAGAAAAGAACCAAACTAAATCGAGAAAACAGACCATTCACGGAATATTATTGTTGTTGTTGTTTTTTTTTTTTTTGGAAGGGCCTAATAAAACTCCTCCGGAATTTTATTTGGAATTCCGCCAATTCTTTCCCTCCCAGAAGAAGGATAAGTCTACTAAGAAAAACCAAACATTAATATGGCCATAGAGCCATAATTAAGAAAGATTTCTCTAACTTGTAATAATTAATGACCCAGATTGGATAGCACAGATAACTCTTTTTAATTATTGACAGATGAACTGAAATCAAAATTAAGAATAAAAATAAATCCTTTTCAATTCCGTGCGGAAATAGGGCGGAGAGAATTGTAAAGGAGCATTTTTGATTAACTGCTGGATTTGAAAATTCCGAAAGCTACCAAAATTTAGAGTATATAAAAATAAGGAAATTTAGCCGCTGAGGTGTTTCGTTTTCTTTGTTTTTAGTTATATCTTGATAGTATAAGAAGAAGAAAAAAATAAACTATAATAGCTTACATATATATTTATTATTGCTAGAACTTCAAAAACTTTGTAAACAACGGAGTCTTAATAAACTGGTTTTCTGGTCTAATTTAGTAATTGCAATGAGCCTAGATAGTATGGAGATGGAAAGAGAAAATGCTAATGCTTTGTTGGTACAAAGTACACCAAAGCCTTCAAAAGTTCAAAAACATAATAATAAACCATTTCAGTGTCCCTTTAAAAAGGGGAAAATAATGAACTCTATAGAAAGTTGTTTAGATAAATCAATTAAGTTAAAAATGGATAATAATACTAAGAACACATATTCTTCTAAAAATGCCCTTTCTATAAAAATTGAAGAATTAAAACAAGCCTTGATTATTTTGAATAAGTATGATAAAGAAATAAATACTAGAAAACTTACACAAAAATGGAGGTGTATAACACAGGCAGCAATGTCATATATTTTGAATATGACTCTCTGTAAAATTGATAAAATAGGTGGCTATCAACAGTTGAGAAAGAAAGAATTTGATTTACAAAAAAAGAGACTTGAATACATGATGGATGATTCTATGCAAGATGAAATTGATACAGTAGTTGAATCAGAAGACTTCAAATCATTGCCTATTGATGATCAAGTAGAGTATAAAAAAATGATGGACGAGCGATTAAAGGATTTTCAGATCCATAAACAAAATGAATTACAAAAACTAGAAAAACAAATGAATGATACCACAAGTAATGAGATGGATATGAAAGAATTAGCAGATCGTCTTAAAATTGATTATAAAATGGTATTTGATATTTGTGGTTGAATTTTCAAATAATTGGTATTAATGATTACCTTTACTTTTTCTATGAATGTCTCTAGTCATCATTTGTATGAAATGTTTCAAATAAACAATAATATTATTATCAAAATGATTTGGACTTAATTAACCATTGGCATTATTCAAAATTGATTGGAATTTCATAAAATATTTGATTAAAGGGGAAAAAGGGTAGTACATTTCTCCAAATATCTCTATATTCGAATCTTTTATTCATAATCGTCCCATAGCGGAAGAAGAAAACTAGAAATTTCTCCTTTTCTTTTTTTTTGAAATCAGCAAAAAGACAAAAGGAAAAAGGAAGAAAAAATGCAAACAAAATTGAAAGCATTAGTTTTATAATTGCAAGAATAGCTATTATACACTGTTGATAATCAATGTTAGCGAATAAGATGTTGTGTTTAGTACATATAGCAATAAACATCTTCCTTTTTTTTCTGTTTTTCTTATATTTTGACTTTTATTGTACATCACCAAAGAAGATGACTACCAATTTATTGAAGCATTCAGTTAATCAATATTTGGAAGAAATTCCTCAACAAGTGCAAACTAGGTTATATGAGTCCCCTGCAACATGTTTAGCTATTTATAGGTTATTGCCCCAAGTAGCGAAATTCTTAGTCATGTCAATGGTTTTTAATGATGCAGATGTGTCACTTCGAGACCTTGATAGATGGATCAAATCAAATGGGAAATTAGAATTCCAAGAGGCCATCAAGTCTTTAAAGTCATTACATCTTATTATTCCTAATAAGTCAGTTGGACAATTGATGATTGGATTGAATCCAACTTTTCGAAATAGTTTTAGAAATGCTTTGACAGGTGGTGAGGTTAGCAATTCATTCGGTGTTGTTGTTGAAGATGATGAAGATACAAAACAAGGGATCATAGATATGCAGCTTCTTGATGAATATTCTGCAAACAAATGGGAAACTATATTACATTTCATGGTGGGGACACCAATGTCTGAAATACCATCCAATAGCGTTTTAAATCTTTTGAAACATAGTGGACTTATGGAAGAAGTTGAGGAGACAGGTGAATTTAAGATTACTAATGAGGGGTTCCAATTTTTGTTACAAGAAATTAGTTCTCAAATTTGGACATTATTATTACAATATTTAAAACTTTCTGAAACTTTGCAAATGGATACAGTGGAGGTCCTGAATTTTATATTTATGCTAGGTGCATTAGAAGTTGGGAAGGCTTATAGTACTGAAAGTTTAACTGCAACCCAGAAAATTATGCTGAAAGATATGAGAGATTATGGTATTGTATTTCAAAAGAATGCAACGTCTAATGTTTTTTATCCTACAAGTTTAGCTATCATGTTGACATCAGATTCAAGAAATGTCATTAGAACAGCATCTGGTGCCATGGATAGTGTTTTAAGACAAAACAAAGATGATATTAATTTCAAAAAAGAAGATGGAATTTCTAGTATTTCCACGAATAGAAAGGAACAAGAACAAGTAGGTATAGATTCTCAAGAAATTCAAGATGGAGCCCTAATTATAGAAACCAATTTTAAATTATATTCATATTCAAATTCTCCATTACAAATTGCTGTTTTAAGTTTATTTGTACATTTAAAAACAAGATTTATTAACATGGTGACAGGTCAATTAACTAGAGAATCTGTTAGAAGAGCACTGATGAATGGTATTACAGCAGACCAGATTATTGCATATTTAGAAACACATGCACATCCACAAATGAGGAGATTAGCTGAGGCTAAACTGTTGAAAAAGAAGGAATTAGATCCAAATTTGAAAGATACACTCCAAATTTTACCACCGACTGTAGTTGATCAGATTAAATTGTGGCAGTTAGAATTAGATAGAGTCATTACATATGAAGGCTCATTGTATTCTGATTTTGAAAGTAGTGCAGAGTATAATATGTTATGCAAGTATGCGCAAGATATAGGTGTTTTACTTTGGAAGGATGATAAGAAAAGAAAATTCTTTGTCTCAAAGGAGGGAAACTCCCAAGTTTTGGACTATGCGAAAAGAAAATTGAAAAAGAAACAATGATTTATTGATTAAAATTCTGTGCATCAAACTTAATTCTTTGTTATTATGCTATTATAGAAACAAATATGATTTAACTTTATTTTATTTATTTGTCAGTCATGTATTATGCTTAGAAAGTTAACATACGATAATCTTAGGATAAATTATGCTGAGGTTAATTTACAATAAATGCTTTATAAAACAAATATTTTAATGTTTTTAATTATTCTCAATCTATGGTTAAATGAATTAATAATAATTTATTAATAAATATATTTAAATATGATAAATAGTAATTATTTCAGTACTTTGTGATTTTTACTATAATTTATATAAGAAAATTTGCTTTTTTATAAAGATATAAATATACTAAGTCGACCCTATTTCTTACTAAACTAGCTGATGAAAGTATGTCATATTCCAAGTATTTTATGATTTTTAATAATTGTTATATTAGGAATTTTACACTCTGCTACATGTTCTTGTGCTTTTATGTCTAACACATTTTTTATTATTCAATTTATAGATTTAATAGTATTTATGGATTATAAAACACTTCAATGATTTTTATTTAATATATAAAGGTAGTATTCTATCAAGCAAGAATGTTCGTTATTAAGTCAGTTCTATCCTAAAAGTGTAGTACCTCTCTATATTATATGACACATTATGAAATAATGTAAAATTTTTCAAAAGCATTGCTATCCTCTAAAGTGATATCAATAAATTGTTTAGAGATATGCCAATTGATTGAAATACAAATCAGGATTAGCTATAAACTTTAATATATACAATTTTATGAATATTAGTATGCATAATAAAAGAGAAACAGAGAAACTAAGTATTAAGAATTACAAACGTGGTAGGTGGATTTCTACTATTATTCAAGCATTGGGTATAAAAACTTAGAGTTGACATGGAGAGTATACAAGATATGAGTCACAAAGATAATTTACGTGTATTTAGCTATTTAATTTATCAACACACTATATTTGTATAATAAATTATAGAGCATCTGTGATAGACGGTGTTTCATTAATATGGCTATACTCTGTTAGAGTGTATAAATAATTTAAATATACTCTGATAGTTTAGTAATATAAAAAATAATTAAATTATCCTTGTAAAGGATTAGTATATACAGGGTATTTAATAGTTAAGGATATAAAGCAGGAACATCATTAATGTGACATATGTTGTCTAGGTGTTATTGTAAATGATTGTACAAACTTTTTAGTCGACAGTGATGTTCTTGTTCTTTATATTCATAAATTTCTTATCCATTCGTCCTTATATTTCTCCAGACTGCGCCACATATATGATAGAGTTTAGATGCCATATCTAGACAATAACAACTAAAGACTATATATCTTATTTTATATGTTAGATGAGATTATATCTTATAATAGGTCTCCTTTATTACAGCTAATTAGCGATTATTCAGAATCGTATGGAGTGATATATGAAAAGCAAAATTTGTAAAAATTAATGCGCAAGCCCGGAATCGAACCGGGGGCCCAACGATGGCAACGTTGGATTTTACCACTAAACCACTTGCGCTCAACTGATCCGTTGCC